GGAGGAGACTCCTCATGACCTGCAGACATACGATCGGAACTTCCGCTTCCTTCTCTTGGATTTGAAAATACGTCGCGCGAATTTGAATAATGAGATAACTTTTTGCGGGCGTCCTTTGGCTTGAAATAATTGTTGTAGGAGTTCTCCATCAACGCGTGAGTAGTTTCCAACTCTAATTTATGCGTTCTTATGTAGTGCACTTTCAGATTGTGCTTGAACTTTGTGGCATAAGCACACATAGTACAGCCTACTAGGGAAGCCACGTGATTTCTTCGAAAATGTTTCTTCAGGTTTTTGCACTCTGAAGTCTGGTAATCGCACACGTGACATTTGAAAACTGGATTCTGATACAAATCTAAAAATTCGCTGGATGCCATTGTTGCATCGCTTGGCTCACTCAAACAATGATCATCATTTGATATCAGCGGCCTTTGAAGTCTAACTTCATTACTAGGCGAAGTTTGGTTCTGGTTGTAATTACAAATTAGTTGTGGCAGTTCTGCTTGATTATCAGTTGTAAGGACAGGCGTTTGATCGAACAGGTAGCTTAAGTCGCTATCTATTGCAGATTGCACATCGATATTGCAATTTGAGTCGGATCTCTCCGCGTATGATGATTTAGTGGCTTCTAATTTTAAGAGACTTTTTTGCTGAATGTGATTTCTTAGAATAACGTCTGATAGCCTGAAACTGGAGCAACCATCATTCGAACTATCTTGGACAATTGGCTTCTCTTTTTCAGCTACGACTGGTTCAGGCTGAATTACATAATCAGAAACCAAAGTTTTCAAATTGATAACATTTAAATCACTCGAGGCATTTGAAATGCGCTTGTCGTCGTAATTAATTTTCTCTTGATTCGGTGATTCTTTAGTAGTCAGCATAATTGGCTTCTGGTGGTTCGAGCTCAACTTCATCGAGAGGGTTCCGAATCGGTCACTGGATTCATTGTCTACAATAAGGAAGCTGCCCTCCCAGTCTGGTACGCTATCCATATCATTTAAACTGATGTCGAGATTACTTGCAGCTTCTGCTTTGATCTGCTTCAAAAGGTAGCTGCAGAAAACTGAGCTGTCCAGGCGGACTGAAAATGTCATCTCAGAACTATTGAAGCTCATAGGACTCATCTGAAAATTAAAAACTCAAATCTAAAATCATGCTAATTTCTATAGCCAAGGAAAGTAGATTGCTCTGATTCATTTGAACGAGCTAAAATTTGCTGGAACCTAAAAAGTATTTGGTTAAGAAAAAACTGCTTTTTTTGAAAATTCTTGCCCTAATACAATTCCATAAAAAGGCGAATGCTATATTTCTACTCTAGTTTACGTTGGTTGGTCAACAAGCCAAAGTATCAAAAAGAATTTTCTGCTGGGATACTGTTTCTTCTAAGTTAGCTTTATCAGGGCTCAATTTTTAGTTCTGATCCAGCTATATTCGTCATCAGTTTAAGAAGATAAAAAGACAGAATTGCAAATACTGCACTACACATACAGAAAAAAGAAACATGGCCACTAGGCAGTTGGAAAAGTGAGCAATTTACGGTTGCCAATTGTTCGATAAAAAATAACCCAATTTGAGAAAACTGGATCAATGAGCAATTTTCTTATTCCGCCGGAAAATCGGAAAGCAATCCACATTCTCGCGCCATTTCCGCTCTCGTTGGAGAGGAGAGTGCACTTTGTCCTTTTTTAGCAAAAGTAATCGAACGTCAAAACGCAGAAGATCAAACTTGGCAACATCAAATTTTCTGAAATTAAACATTTTATATAGGTAAAACTGTATCAATGAGCAATTTTAGTTATTCCACTGAGAAATCACAAAAAAAAACAGCTCATTTTGCAACTAAAGACAGTCACGTTTTTCGTGAACTTCACATTTTTGGTGTTAACAGTGGTGTTTTAACAAATGGAATGAACTGAACTTACAGAAATCGTCATAAGCCAAGCCGCGAAACGCCAAATTTCAACATGAACAAAACTTGAGCTTTTTTCTTTAAAACAATCAACTCAATTCATATGAGTTTCTTTACACTTGAAACGTTAAAAAAGTTCGAACTAAATCTTTCGGTACCGACACTATCTAAGCAAATGAAAATTTTTTTCTCTCATTAAAACTTAAGCAAGGTCATTAATTATGCTCAGGGTGACCAATTCTTGCGTCAACCTATCGACCAATATTAAAACAAAACAATGAATCAGTGTCGCAACTTTTTCGTCTTCCAATTTTTGACTTCTTTTTTGCCCGACTTTCTTCCATTTTTTTTCCATGAGTACAAGTTAAGTTAAATTATTTAAAAAATCTATCAAAAACAAAACACATAATTCTTGAATTTTTTTAAACAAAACTTTTCTAAATCAATTTGGTCGGAACAATTTGGGCTATTCAGAGCAACCGTCTAACCTTGTGTTAATTGCAGATTTATTATTGAAGATCAAAACTTAAAAACTGAAATCAAAATCAAAATATATCCAGAACACTTACCTCTGCCAAATCAAAAACATATGAAAAATTCGCAACACTAAAACCAAATCATTCAAAATTCCAAAACAATTAACTAAAAACATCGCTCTGAACAGTAAATGTAAAATAACTAGAAATCAACAATCAGTTTGGTAAGAGTAGGCAAAAAATAGAATCAAAATCAATACGAAAACAAGGGACCATATTTCAACAGAGAGATGAAGCTACGCTTCGCAAACACTTGCGAGAAAAAGAGCAAAAAAACTGCTCTATCATGTGAAAAAACAGTGAGAATAGGCCTCGAATTAGCAAAAAACTCGGCTACGTGTCGGATTTGAATCTGCAACCTAGCAAACTTGAGTCTCACGCACTAACCACTCAGCCACGGATGCTTAAAATACCCAAAATCTAGCCACCGATAGCGCAGCTACTTATGCTAATAAATTGGCAATTCGATGCAGCAAAAGTAGCAACAAGCACAAACACACAAAAGTTTGCTTGTAATAAATTAGAAAGCATAAAGCCAAATAATACATAAATTATGCATTTCAAAAAAATTGCTAGTTACATTGAATTGGAAAATTTCTGAAATCAAGCTTTTTGCCACTGTACCGCTGTTTGACACCAATAACTTTTTTTCGTTTCATTTGATGAAACAAAAATGCATCAACTGTGTAACTTTTTACTAATCAAATGTCAAAGCACATGTATTATGCTGCAACAGCAGCCTAACGATTCAAAAGTGCAACCAAAGTAGCACTTGTATTTGCGACTTAGGTTGGGAAAAAAGAAAGTTCGTACTACTATACTTTTCTTCGCGAAAGCAATTATTGTTACGTTATTCGAAACAAATGGCTTTTTTCGGTTCATTTGATGAATTAAAAAAACGCATCAACGGTGTTTAATTATATCTACGAACAGCCACTGAAGTGCTGCAAGACACCGAGACCGAGTCGATGTCACAGGACGAAGACATAGAGTATTGATAAAACCGAATACCATGAAGCAAAAGAAATTAAAACTTTTACATTTTCTAAACGACAGAGCAAAGAAAAGGATGCAAAGAAAGTGCAAAGGACGGAGAGAAAGATGAGTTAAAAAGATGATTAAAAAAAGAAAATCATTAAGTAAGACCATTTAAAATTAAACATCTTAATTTAAACATCATTTAACTGTATCCCACAGTCCAAACTCGTTTGTTTGTATTTATTTATCGAAACCTTGTCACAAGATGCGTATACGAGAAAACATCGAAAAACTCTTGTTGAAATCCAGATAACCTTTGATAAAATTGTGCAAATCTCCATCTTCATTGTTTGGTAAAATTGTGCAAATCTCCATCTTCATAGTCTGCTGCATATTCGCCTCAAGGTCAAATTTACAAAATTTAAGTTATTGGCCAATTTCAAATGAAGAGAACAAACCACTGACACAGTGAATAACAATGTTCATTTGAAAAACCTTAAAATTAAGTCAAAATTTGAAACATTGTTTTCGTGTCTTGTGACTACTAGACCGCCCTTCAATCACAATTTCATCATTTTAAAAAGATTGTTCCGACCATAGTTTTTAGGAAACTACAGCTTAGGAGTTTTTTCTACATTAGTGTAGTTTTTTTCTGCTTGGCGTGATAAAAGGATTTGACAGTAATAGTAATTTAGGCAAATTGGACAGAAGTGTTTGTAGAAAATTGACTAGAAAAGCCAAAATGAAGCTAAAAACTAGTTCTACTTGCTTAAAATTAAATTTTAAGGCCTTAAGTTAGGCATAATTCAGCTTTTGGAGGCCTGCTCGCTTGCTTCATTCGCTCGAATTAAGACGAGAAATCAAAAATTTCAAACCGGTTTTTCTCTGCACAGGGATTTTTTTGGAAAGTTCGTAATGTCGTTCGAAACACGACTAAAAGGGCTTTATTATGATATATCACTCAATCCAGTCCAATCATTATTTGTGTTACCTGAATACAAAGTTCCTCCCCATTTCGGAACAATAAACAGATATTGAAAGTCAAGAAACCTTTTTAATATTAGGCAGGCTGAACTCATCAGGAAACAGTGATCATTACTTAATTGTTTCTGTAGACAAGCAAACAAAGCCAAGAGGCAAGTGGAACAAAGTCAATGAGCGGAAGGAAGCACAAATGTCTGACTTGTTTTTTTTGAAAAACAGCTTTCGAATATCAGGAAAAAAATTAGGAAAATTTGAGAATATTGGATCAATACGCCAACTTTTCTTTATTACGGTGGTAAAGTTGAACATTGAAGTTCACTTTTGAAACTAGAAGTCGATCACGTTTTTCGTGACTTTTATAATTAAATTCAAATAACGAATATATACCCTAGTGCATTGATAAACGCATCAATATTTATGAATGCACATCTGTGAAATATCAGAGCATTTTAAGACTTCACTGAACAAAAAAAAATCTTCACGTCTGAAATAGGTTCATCGACTCTTAATAACCCTTTAACTTGGTGATTTTCGCCTTTAATCCTGGACATCATATGATAAAAGTATTTCCGTTTTAAACTACAAAACACTTAAGACGCTCCATATTTTGAACCGTTTCCATTTTCACTTTACTCATAATTTAATTCTCAAAACTTCAAATGATAAACAAATCGACGACAAAACAGTTTTGAACACGTTCTGGCTATTTCTACAGATTAATTCGCATAGGCTCACTGGTTCCGGATGATTCAGAATGTTTTTTGGATACCTGTAACCTTTTGAAGTATTTGGATTACTGCACGTTGAAAAGTAGATGTATTCCCTGCGCAAGCTTTCGTTCAAGAAAAGGTTTTACATATACAATAGATTATTCCACATACATAAGATATTTATAGACTAACGAATAAACCTCATTTAAAATAAAAATTTTATTCTTGGTTTCTTTTGATAAATCCAGGAAATATCAGAAATAAATAAGACAAGACACCAGACAACACAAGTACTAAATTAAATTTACTGCGTTTGATTTGACTATACAGCTCTATTCATTTTACACGTTGAGTGCTCATTATTAAAATTTTTTCAAGATGGCTGAAATCCCGTCTTGTTCTGACTCTGCCAGTTCCACAGATCGCGACCTAAATCAAAACACACGCTTTTATAACAACCCTTTAAATTTAAGGATTGATTGTATTCAAAACACTAGTGGTGGATAGAACTCGAAATTGTAAGTAAGGTGCAATATGTACGGAGTGCTCTTGTCAGTTAACAATATGTTAGTTAAGATAAGTTAAGAACACTTAAGTTACTGGTTTGGCCACCGGATACTTAGAAAAACGAACCCACTTTTTTTATTTAAATCGATGGTTGTGAAACGTAAATGGTTGTGAAACGTAATCATATGACTGGCCAAATTGCTGTCTTTTTCGCAACTTTTACAAATTGGTCATTTCAAATTGAAATACACAATTTTAATCAAAGCCATTAAATTAACAAGAATAAACGAGGCTAAGATCAGTGGATGCTCAAATTGTGTGACTTACACATGGTCTCTAGGTCCCTGGTGGCATGCCAGTTGAGATCTGTGGCTGCGAGGGTGCAGTCGGCGTACACCTCACCCACATCGCCCCCTCTCCTCGCTTTGATGACGTAGGGGATGTCCACTCCTGATGCCTTCTTCATCGCTGCTACCATTTCCAACACTGAGTGGCCTTTACCTGCAGAGAAATACCAGAATGAACAAAAAACAGAAAATCACAAGCTCCACATCTCTATATGCGTGTCACTCAAGAAATCACAAATGAACACTAATTAAGAGCAAAAATGTATTTGTTTTTGAGTGATTGCAGCAGCCTAAACTGAGAAATTATATGATGATATGCTACCCACCAGTTCCCAAATTATAAGTTTTCAACCCGCTCAAAGATCCCTCCAACATCTTCTCCAAGGCAGCCGTGTGACCCAGAGCCAAGTCCACTACATGTATGTAGTCTCTCACTCCAGTCCCGTCTCTCGTCTCGTAGTCGTTACCGAACACACTTAGTTGTGACAGTTTCCCGGAGGCGACCTGGGCCACATAAGGCATGAGGTTGTTTGGGATGCCTGCAGGATCCTCGCCTAGCCTGCCCGACTCGTGTGCTCCGATGGGGTTGAAGTATCGCAGGACGACTGCATTAACGTGCTGTAACTCAGCAGAAATGAAAATTAGATACACCAACAAATTACAACTCGATACAAAAGAGTCGCAAAATAAAATATCGGAATGCTATCACAAAGTTGGCAAAGTGTCATTATTGAACTCAAAGGTGCTCAAAAAACGATTGATTTTTATTTTCAGACATTTTTCAATTTCCGATTTACGGAGAAAAACATTTGTTTAAGCTCTTTGAATTTTAACGATTGGTTTTAAATTCTTTGGACAAAGTCTTTCGGCACTTCATTCTTCGAACAATTTGAGAACACCGATAAATAGTAACATTTATACCTACGGTTAACCTAACAATTAAAATCTACTTTCGAAACAATAAGTTTCTTGTTTCTTCACGCGTAAGGTACGCATCGCACCTTATAGCAAATGAATTTGAGTTAAATTGAAAAAAATCAAAAATCAAACTCCCATGACTGAACACATAATCATCGCAAACCCTGTTTTATGAACATTTGCAACAATGATTCAGTTTTGCTGGAGCCTAGAAACTTAGACGACCGTAAAGAAACGGAATTTACGGACAACCAGTATTTATTCAGTCAAAAGTTAATTTAAGCCTGTAAACAAATTTCACGCAGGTTATTGCCTAAATTCCCTTAGTTTCTGATCGTCTAATTTGCTTGTCGTCTAATTTCCTAAACCCCAGTTTTGCTACATAGATTAAGGGGACCCATCGTTTAGCAGACCAATCTTTTAGCATAAAAAGTGAAAAAAGAGTCTTTTAGCAGACCAGCGCTATGAAGTGATCCATAATTGATTGACAGACTCAAAGAGACGCTCAGTCGGTGGTCAACCTGCCCCAATTAAGACAATTATCTCACGATTTGTCAACAAAACTATCAACTTCAAAAACACAGCAGTCTAAACTAACGGCAAAACAAAGATTTACTCGCCTAATAACACTCAGAAATTTAATCTATGGCGCTAGGGATTTTAGCAGACCAATTTTTTTTAGCAGACCAATATTTCACAGTCCCAGAACAATTATAAAGTCAGAAAGCTAACTTCAAACGCAGCATTGGCGATTAGCGACCGCTTGCTACGCTGCGCTTCAATTCAAATTGAAACGGAGCGAAGCAAGCGGTCGCTAATCGCCAGTGCCGCGTTTGAAGTTAGCTTTCTGACATTATAATTGTTCTGAGTCTGCTGAAAGATTGGTCAGCTAAAAAAAACGGTCTGCTTAAACATAGCACCATAGATTAACGCTGATTGGAAAATTGCAATCAATAGCCAGAGAAATCTACACACAGAGGCGAAGCTGCGCTTCGCAAACACTTGCGAGAACCCGATCAAAAAGCAGCTCTATCAAGTTAAATAAGAAAAGGTAGAAATAACCATCGACTTATCAAAAACTCGGCTACTTGTAGGATTCGAATCCGCGACCTACTGCAATCAAGAGATTTTGAATATCTCGCACTATCCCCACAGCCACTCATGCTTAAACTGACAAACAGTAGTCATGAATAAAGCAAATTCATATGCTAACAAATTGGCAATGCGATTCAGCACCAATTACAAAAACTCAATTTTGCAATTGGAAATTTGGAACATAGCAAACTAAAGACAACCTCTCTAACTTTGCGTATGAAATTGGAAAGCATAAAGCCACATTATGTATAAATTATGCATTTCAAAAAATTGCGAGACATTCAATTAGAAAATATCTGAAATCGAGTTTTCATTATTGTGATTTTGTTTGAAACAAATAGCTTTTTTGGGTTCAATTGATGAACTAAAATTGCATCAACTGTGTTAATTTATTACTATTCGAATGTCAAAGCAGATGCTATCAAAAAATTGTAAGGGTGCCCCACCATTAATGGGTGCCGCACCAAAAAAGTTCCGCGCCAAAATTTGCGACTTAGGTCGGGAAAAAAAGAAGGTTCGTATTAATACACTAGCTTCGCAAAAGTAAATATAATTTTAATTCAGTGATAACCTAACGATGTTTCATCGATTGATCAACGCCGGGAAGAACAATAAAAAATTCACTAGAGATCTACGTGGATCAGCGCCGGAAAGTACCAAAAAAAGTTCAATAGAGATCAACAGATTGTGCGTTCGATCCCTGTTAGAAGTTTTTTGCATTATTTTGAAAGTTCAGAAAATTAGCGTAAATCATTGCTAAACCTTGGATAATCAGTCAAAATGGCAAATATCAATCCCTAAACCATCAATGCACTTCTATGATTTTACTGATTCATCGATAAACATCGATGCCTGATCAACCCGGGCATCACACTAATATAAAACCCACAGCCAACAGACAGTTGGAAAAGAATTAACGAACGCAAGGAAACAGACAAAACTGACTAGTGTTTTTCAAAAAAAATCACTTTTCCAAATTCACAACTATAAAATACGTCCGTAAAGCTCTTTAGATAAATTTTCAGAAAAGTTTAAGACTGACATTTTTTGATAAAATCAACTCAATTTGCGGGGGAAGCTGGATCAATACGTAACGTTTTATTCCGCTGGAAAATCTGACAATTCAAATCCAATCTCAACATTAGAAGCCAATCATGTTTTTTGTGACCTTTATATTTTTGCTCTTCAATAGTGGAATTTGCCTTCCTTTTAACAAAAATACGCTGAACTTAAAAAAACGAAAACCAAACATCGATATAAAATTTGAGCGTGATCAAATTTAAAGATTTTTCTTGAACAAAATCATCACGACCTATATAAGAGGCTTCGCTACATTCATCCACTCTTGAAAATATAGCCAACAGACAAGACAATTCAAAAAATATATATATATATATATATCAAAACTTACTTCAAAAGATTTTTATGGTTGCTACTTTTGTGCTTAAACTAACAGGTAAGTTTTTTTAATTCTGCTGGAAAATCTACAAACAGAAAAATCATTTTAAATTAAGTAAATTAGGATCTTTCGTTTCATTCGCACTTTTTTTTGGAGACAGCAAAAGAAAAAAAAAACAAGAAAAAATCAAAAAATCTTGAGCGCGAACATTTTTTAGGACTTTAAAAAAAACAATCTAGGATTTTCTCGGATGGGGGGGGGAAGGGGCAGATTTTTAAAAAGTTTTCGAAGATTTTGTCGAACTTTTTTTAAGTCGACAAAATCGACCTTTTTTTGTCGACCTTTTTCCGAGCACTCCCAAAGCACTAAAAATCTGGTTTAATGAACACAACTGAAGACTTCACATGTGTTTATTGAACCTTAATGAACGTGAAAGATTTTGTTATTTCTTTTGATAGATGATTATTCAATCAACTATTGTATTGTTCCAATTATATGAAGGAACAAAAAAGAATGAATGACGGACATTCCTGCTCGGTCCCTATCAAGATAAGTTTCTCGACACTGGCCAAAAACATAGCGTTATTAGGGAAAAACGGTCTTTTTTTGAAACTTGATTCGTCTACAAAATATAGCATCTATGTCAGAAAATAGTATACAAGTTGAGGAGGCGTAAGACTATCTTTTATTTCAGCAGGTAGCATTTATTTAATGTACAGAGCTATGCACATTCCGTTTGACAATTGAGATAACCTCTCAAACTCGACAGGGTTCATGATCAAAAAATTTTAGCACAAATTGATTGAGTTTTAAAGAGAACAAAAAAGAAGGAAGAGGCAGAACGAGAAAGATATGTCATGTAGTAGTTTATTTTGATTCAGTTTTCAATTCAGTTCCGTCGAGACCGTCAGTTGACAGTTGGAGGCAGGTAGATTCGAGGGTTGGGTCTGGAAAGCCCAGCCTAGGAGGGTTTCTTTCATTCCTCCTTGGTTCGGAATAGCACTTCGCTTAGAGCTCCTTTCGTGCGTGCTTGAAATATTGTGCCAAAACTTAGCATACTCCGTTTTTCAGAAGGAAACTACTCAAATCTGTGTGTCCGTAAGCTGTGGCGTAATGAATACAAGCATAACCATGAGCGTCCAGACGTCTGGGATCTGCGCCTAATTTGATCAATCGTTTCACCTTCCTCAAACTGCCTTCTATACTGGCCATAGACAGCGCTGAGAAGCCAGTCCGCCTCTCAACTGCGTCCAGATTAATCTGATCTGCATAAACTGCCAGGAAGTCGATCAAGTCTTCGAATCTCTCTTGCTTCACAATCAGATAGAAGTTGGACTGCAGTGCTGTGTTGATGTTGTGGTTGTCTCCCAGACTGTTCAGACAACTGTTGTTCGTCAAAGGGGTCAACGCTGTAATTTCATGTGGTGCCATTTTTTCTTCGTCTTTTTCAAATAATTCAAAGATTCAGTCGAAGTTTTAATCGATTTAGTTCAAAATTGGTGTCCCTGTGTAAGTTCTACACAGACAGTAAGAAAATAGTTGTAAATGAATAATTAGCAGATATTTGGCGGAAACAGACGACGATCAAAGGAACAATTGTGGCGGCTGACCCTAATCTTGTTTTGAAGTAATTCGAGGGTTGTTTGCTTTGCCCAGAAATACGAGATGACGTGAGCTCAATGGCCACTTCGCAAATTAAGGATGAAAATTGTCCAATATGATAAACCAACTTGCTAGGAAAAAAGAATGAATGAAAAACAAATCACGAAATTCTGTCAAGAATAAATTCGCGTTCTTTCGTAAATCGAGACTTCGCCTCAATTACCTGTTCGACAGGTATTTCAAATCATCGTTTAATATAACTAGTTGCATATAAAACGCAAGCGACTCCAATAAAATCTATTCTCAAGAATCTAATTGGTACTTCGGCGGATGAACATTAATACAAATGAGTTCATTCTGTAAGGAAAATTCCAACACTTCTGAAATGTCAATTTTGAATTTATTACCGTTTTTTTTTCAAATAAATCAATAAACCAAAGGGAAGAGGTGATCAAAATTGGATCGTGCGAACAAACTGCCGATGCAGGTGCGAATTTGAAATGAAGTTAACGGCGGCTATATCAAAGTGACCAAATGTAGTGTCCAATTTGAAAATATTCAGTTCTGATTGGCCAAATTTAGAGTGAACAAAGCACAGGCAGTC